TTAAAGGGGTCATATGATGTGATTTCAAGTTTTCCTTTCTCTTTGGAGTGTTACAAGTTGATTGTGCATAGATGAGATCCCTGAAGTTGCAAAGACTAAAGTCTCAAAACCAAAGAGATATTCTTTATCAAAGTTAAGACTCTGCCACGCCCCCCTAAAACGGCTCGTTCTAACACGCCCCCACATATCTACCTCACTATGTGGGAATATTTGCATAATGCCGCCCAAATGTGCACGCACTGTTCGTGTGTGTGTGTGTGTGTGTGTGTGTGTGCGTCAGAGAGACAGAGAGAGAGAGAGAGAGAGAGAGAGAGAGAGAGAGAGAGAGAGAGAGAGAGAGAGAGAGAGAGAGAGAGGGGGAGAGGGGGAGAGGGGGAGGGTCACATCATAGTGGAGGCAGCTGTCTTAACTGTGGCTTGTGTACTGCAAACACATACCAGCTTCATCACTGTGTCTGTCACACGACTCTGTTCCCCTTTCTGGTTCTGTCTTTACATTTATTTTGAAAGATGAAGCTCACGATTATGGTAAGGGGCGTTACATTTCCGACGAGTGCTTGCGGTGTTCGGCCAATCACAATGCACTGGGTCAGCTGGCCAATCAGAGCAGACTGCGCTTGTCGGAAGGAGGGACTTTGTAGAAAACGAAGCGTTTGAGAGAGGCGGGGCATAGAGGACCTACAATAATGTACAGTATTTGAAAAATAATGGGTTTTTTGAACATTAAAGCATGTAAACATATTCTGTTACACCAAATACACACAATAATGATCTTTAAAAAAGCATCATATGACCCCTTTAAACATTACAAATTATTTCAGAATGTCTTGGGATTTGATTTTGTTAGTTTGTTTAAAAATTTTCTAAACTATATCAATAAATACTAATACACAACTTTATTAAATAAAATTAAAAATGACAAATTTGTATTCAATATATATTGTATAGAATATTATTATATAAAATTTGGGATGTGTTAAAAGCAGGCATGCACAAATACGCAATATGATGAAACCTCACATACGTACAGTGCATTTTACTGTTAAGATCAGTTACATCTTAACATACAGTGGATTATATGGTTTAGATTGGTTTCATGCTGTAGAGCCACTAACGGCTCATAATGTTATTGACAGTGTTTTAAAACACAAGCAGTCGGTAACCATTACTACTGGCCAGAGGTTTCCATAAATATTTAATTCACATGTGAGGTTGTTTATTTGTTGTAACTAAGTTTAATAGTACAGTGCACACATTGTTAGTGGTGTGTTGGTTGCAACTTAGTGCCCATTTATGCCACAACTAGACTGAGCTGATGCAACCGGCCCATGATGCAATGGCAGAGATGTCATAATGTAAGTAGAGCAGTGAACCTTGCATCCTGTTTTTTTTTCTTTTCTTCGGCTACATCTATCTGTCAGTCTGACAGAACAATATATTTGAATGATTGTGAAGGATTACACATTTTCAAAGCATTAAAGTAATGAAATTTACACAATAAATACAACAGGTTAAAACAAGTACAATACTCTTACAATACTATACTGTAGTTTCTGCTCTTCATTCTCTAGAGCTGCCTTGTAAGTCAGACTGATGTGACCGTCCTGCTTTAATGTCAAGCCAATGACAAATCGTCTGTGTCCCACCAGGTTAGATCAGTGTACTGCAGCCTCTTGTGCGAGCCTATGTGTGTATGTACACATTTGTGTGTGTGTTACAGCTGTGGTGTAACCCGGAGCCCTGGCGCCGCAGGAGCTGTCTTGCACACAACAAATATGCTTGTTTACCATCCCAGCAGATAATTCCTTTTTTTTTTTTTTTTTGTCCTACCCGACTGAAACCAGGCCACAACTTTGAGCAACAGATCTGTCTTATAATGACTTTTTTTAAAGACTGGCTTGTTTCGAGTGAAGTACGCAAAGCTTGTTTGGCTTCTGTCATTTCATAGGAACTAATGAAGAAGAATGGAGAGGTTGTCACTTGTTTTCTTCTCTGGTCATTGTTAGTTGGAGCCCCTGCGGTGGGAACTGATGGTGTTGGTCAACTGGATGTTTGCAGTCAAAATTGGGAAGTCAAACACAGCAGCACTTCTGTCGATGTTACTAGTTAGAATAAATGTAACTAATTTTCTGTGCATGTTACTCCTTTAATGACATAAAGATAAGAGGAGATTGTATTTTTACTTCCTCGTTTAGTGTTTGATGTTTAACAAGTTATTTTTGCCATTGTAGCCTATACTATTAGTTTTTATTAAGATTTTTTTAATTAGCTTTTATTTTTTAGTTTGAGCAATTTTGTTATGTGCTGTTATCATCTATTTATTTATTTTTATTTTTTTTATTTAGCTTTTTATTTCAGTATTTTACTACTTCAACAAACTTATTTCAGGTAGTTGCCAAGGCAACATTTCTTATTATTGTTTAAGTTTGTAAGTTTCAGTTTTTCATCTAATATTACTATTTTATTTTAGCTTTAGAGTGGCACGGTTAGCGACGCTAGACTTTTGAACTTGTCTATGAGCCTCAGCTCTAGACAGATCATCCCCCCCAGAGGAGGATTTGGAGCGCCGAGGAATGAACTTCCTGAAAGTAGCTTTCGCCTCTCTGAACTTATCCACAACCGCCTTGACGGAAGTGCCAAAAAGCCCGGTATAAGCGAAAGCGGAGCATCGAGAAGAAAGTCCTTTTCTTTCTTCCGCTTTCACCTATATACTCTTAAAAATAAAGGTGCTTCACGATGCCATAGAAGAACCTTTTTGGTCTAAATGGTTCCATAAAGAACCTTTAACATCTGAAGAACCTTTCTGTTTCACAACAGGTTCTTTGTGGCGAAAGAAGGTTCTTCATATTATAAAAAGGTAAGAAAGAGATGGTTCTTTAAAGAACCTTTGACTGAATGGTTCTTTGTGGAACTAAAAATGGTTCTTCTATGGCATCGCTTGAAGAACTTTTTGAAGCACCTTTATTTTTAAGAGTGTAACCGTAAGATTGCCGCCGTAGCCACCATTGAGTGACCAATGGCAGCAGCAGTTTGCTTGGTGTTGCGGAGAGCTAGATCTGTGGTGCGACGCAGCTCTTCCACCGTCTCAGGAGACAAACCTCTGCCCTTATCCAAATCCTTCAACAAGTCAGCCTGATAGGCTTGTAACACTGCCATGGAGTGCAAGGCTCCACCAGCCTAACCCACTGCCACATACGCACAAGGTGGTCTGAAGTGCCATGGATAGCAAGGCAGGAGTCTTCAGAGGACGACTCACCCTGCGAGAGAGAGAGCTCACAAACGTCTCTTAAACGGGAGGCATCCTCGCGTATCCACGCTCGGCCACACCCTCAACATTAGCATAGTCACCGTGTTGAAAGGGATGTAATCAAGCTCGACCTGTGATTCCCATGAGCTGAGCTCTCATGTTCTTTTATCAGATATATATAATGGATTATTTATTATTATATAATGCATTATATAGAATTTTCTATTGCTGTATATATCTGTTGAAATTAAAAATGGATTTATAATGTAGACTACAGTCACGTCGTCTGATTTTTTCATTATGGTTTGAGTCTCAGTATTTGATAAAGAAACAGTTTCCTGGTTGCTCAGGTACACTGTATTGCCTTTGTTATAAGAAAGTGATACAGCTTGTAGGCTCCAGACACTGCAAATATTGTGAGAGTGTCTGTGTGTGTGTGTGTGTGTGTGTATTATCATCCAAGTGCTGTTTATCTGGCCGTTGCTTCATTTCCTCCATCCTGTAGAGCTCACTGCCAGCTCAGATCATCTGTGGTGCGGTACCCTGACTGCAATTTCCTAAGGTGATGGAAACACGTGGATGGTGTCTGTAGGCAGGTCGCTGGGGCCACAGAGGCATAACATGTTTACCAAGCATGCAGGACAAGTGGCGCTCCGACTGCCCTTGGGTTCATACAGGCTCCCACAAATCCGCTTACATCAAAAGTGTGACATCTGGATGAGAGCCAGAGCAGGAGAGCTCAGTTCTGCCACATTCAACCCTCCTCCAACACACCTGCCTGGAATTTTCAGAAAAAACACAAGGGGGATTGGACGTTCGGATGAGGAGGGTTGGAAATAAACTCCATTTCATCTTCACCTAGTTCACACAATTAAAGCTGCAGACACTTTAGGCTCAAGTCATGTTGGTGATGTTTTAATGATTGCTAAGCAAAGCATTATGTGTGGGCAAGTAATGTCAAGGTCTCCAGAATTAAACAAAAAATACATAAAATCACTACCTGAATTACTCCGATATCTGCATTGTATCAGCACATAAATAAACATATCCGCTAAATATCATCTTATCTGCTTTACAAACAAATGTTCTAGTACGAATAGTAAAGCAAATGTCAAGTCAAGTCAAGTCACCTTTATTTATATAGCGCTTTTAACAATACAGATTGTGTCAAAGCAACTGAACAGCATTAATTAGGAAAATAGTGTCAATAATGCAAAATGACAATAGTAAACACTCATTTTTCAGTTAAAGACAGTTCATCATTGAATTCAGTGATGTCAACATCCAGCTCAGTTTAAATAATATCTTTGCAATTATGTCAACGATAACGCTGGAAATGAAGTGTCCCCAACTAAGCAAGCCAGAGGCGACAGCGGCAAGGAACCAAAACTCCATCGGTGACAGAATGGAGAAAAAACCTTGGGAGAAACCAGGCTCAGTCGGGGGGCCAGTTCTCCTCTGACCAGACGAACCAGCAGAACGGAAAAATCAATATAAGACGTAATAAAACAGACGATGAATAATATTAACAGCAATTATTATATGATGCAATCAAACTTATAGCAAAATGTGGTAGTTCTGTAAGTTGTTTCAGGGTTGGCATCATCTGAGGTCCTCTGAGGGGTTGGCATCATCCCCTCAGAGGGAATGTGTCTCCATGTATACGAAACCTATGCCGCTCTCATACATGTTTTTTGCACTATGAATTTGCACAAAGCATAGTGTGATTGACTGCTTATATTACACACTGAATATATGTACAGTACTGTATAGTGGTCGAAAAGTAGATACTTTAGCATTAAGTATTGGACCACAGTACATTGTCACAAAATTGACACTTACAGACCCCATTTGCTTCTGAATTTACTGCAATTCTTATTTTTAAACCATACATTTAAAGTTGTGATGAAATGTAAATAGCGGCAGATCTTTTCTTCCATATTGTGACATATTTCTCAGCATAACGTATATATGCAGGGTGAGTTGTTGGGAGTCAACTGTAAAAAATAAATAAAATTAAACTGACAAAATGAAAATCAAAATGGCTTTGATCATAAAACAAAGCATTTAAATATCATTGTAAGACATTACTGGGAGATATAGAGTGACAACTGATATTTATATGCATTTTATGTAAGTAGTCTTCTATACTGTTATATTTTATTGATTTAAATACAAGCTATCAGTATTTCATAAAAATGTTTTCCCTTGTGTGTGAGCTCTATATAAGCCATGATAGCCTCGTTTATCAAACATGATACTCAAAATAAATAAAAAATAAAATGGGACTCTAATAACTAAAACTACATAAAGGTTCAATAAAATGTTTCATCAAAAATAATATAAATCTAAAACCTGACTCATTTGATATGTCAGGCTTTACAGGGTTAAGCAGACTAAGTGATTGGAGAAATCTGGCATAAGTCTGTCCTTTTACTGAAAGTTTATGACATTTTGATTAAATATTATGAGGTTAAAAAAAATCAAATGTATCCATGGATGAATTGTTCACAATAAAATCTATAACATGCATTTACAAAATAGATGAAATGAGACCATTCAATTGAAAAAGAGAACAGTCTTGTTTTCTCGTGTTCTTTTTTGCAAGACATTGTTTAGTGATATCTGAAAAGCACAAATCCACTGGAAATAGTATGCACCTTTAGCATACTATTCTCAAAACTCTGATTTGGGACGCACGTACTAATTATTATTTAGGACGGATAGTTTGCAAATTGGGGAGAGAGAGCTGGCGCAGGACTCGGCCCTCTTGTTTTGCTAAAAAATGCATTGGTTTTTTTTTCTTTACAGGGTTAAGCAGACTAAGTGATTGGAGAAATCTGGCATAAGTCTGTCCTTTTACTGAAAGTTTATGACATTTTGATTAAATATTATGAGGTTAAAAAAAATCAAATGTATCCATGGATGAATTGTTCACAATAAAATCTATAACATGCATTTACAAAATAGATGAAATGAGACCATTCAATTGAAAAAGAGAACAGTCTTGTTTTCTCGTGTTCTTTTTTGCAAGACATTGTTTAGTGATATCTGAAAAGCACAAATCCACTGGAAATAGTATGCACCTTTAGCATACTATTCTCAAAACTCTGATTTGGGACGTAATTATTATTTAGGACGGATAGTTTGCAAATTGGGGAGAGAGAGCTGGCGCAGGACTCGGCCCTCTTGTTTTGCTAAAAAATGCATTGTTTTTTTTTAAAAGAAAAGACCAACCAAAGGAACAGTTCACCCTAACTCACCCACCTGTAACAAGTTACAATCTTCCATGCAATACCTGTACGTTTCTCAGAAGCGGCTCGGTTGGATTGTGAATAAAGTCTGTGTCGTTCGCTCGGTGGGCTTTTATTAGTTTGAGTCAGTGCTCTATATATGGGCTTGGGATTGTTAAGAAACCTACTTGGAGAGCAGGTATCCTCGTCTCACCCTGGATATTCTACTCCTCCTCATCCATAATTGATCACACAATCACCTCTAGAAAATCGAGTTAAGCCATCTTCCTCTCCTGCGAGCGTGCCAAACACTGATAGGTGGAGAGATGCCAAGATCTTTTTTCCGTCTTGTTTGAGGAGCAGTGCGATATTAATGCACAAAGGCGATCAATGCTGCATTCAAAAGCAAAAGTTAATCGATGCACAGAAATTTGTTCTGCCGTACAGTTCCTATTATCTTTACTCGAATGCCGTTTGGAATCAGTGCCGTGTCAATAACATGCGTTATAATCTCTTTGGCTCTTTCAAGGTACGAGCTTGACTATGACACTCATTCCACGAGCGCAGACGTTTCAAAGCTTCCTTTCCGAGCAGACGGAGGAGGAACGGACCCAGGCGCAAGCAACGGCGGCCTCTAGCGGCTGCGACAGGGATTGCAGCACCTCGCCGCTCCGTTGACGAAAGCCACGACTCACGGACATTCCAAAGCTTATAGACACATGTACAGTATGAACTCTCTCTCTGTATATGTATGACTTAATAATTATTTGTAGAACAGTGTGTATAGTAAGAGCCTCTTTTTGTACGTTGAAAAAAAAGAAAAAAAAATGCAAAAAGTTGTACCATAAGCTTTATTTTCCTTGTGTAGTTTAAGACAAATGTACTTTCTGCGGTTATTTTTCAGATTTACTGTAAATATTAATGCGCTGTAGCGCTTACACAACAAGTTTCTTGCATTTTTTGTCTGTCGTCGTAATGGGACACCTACTTAGATTCTGTCAAACAGTATCTGTTTGTGTTTTAGCACCCTGCACTTTTAAATTAGAGCTTGTTTTGCACTTTTGTCATTTGCTTTGGGGTTCATTATATGCAGCCATGTTGTCTGTAGATGTGTGCAGTGTGGTGTTTTGGGGGAAATGGAAAAATATATATACTTTGAAAGGGATAGTTCACCCAAAAATGGGATATTCTGTTATCATTTACTCACTTTCCAGACGTGTGAGTCTTTTTTTCTTCTTCTTTGGAACACAAATATTTTGAAGACTGTGCTGGTTGCTCTTTTCCATAAAATCTGAAAACAATTCAAAATGACAAAAGCATAGGCTACATCATAAAAGGCGACAATCAATTCAGATTTACTCAACCATTAAAACACCTTTAAATGACTGTTGATGTTTTGTCTAATTGTGCTAGAAAAACCTGTTTCAACCAGAATAATAACACAAATGATTATGTCATAACTCACGATGTGGAGCTAAAGGTTTGAGAAGCACATGAAGAATTGCCCCCCTCCCCCACACTTTTTCCACATGTAATTATTTACTCAGAAATCGTTCTAGTCCGCATTTAGTAGAACTTGAATGTGAATTAACCTCTGTTTTATTACAATGTGCATTGTTTTTCATTTAAAAATGACTTGAAAAAGTGAATTTCTAGTGGTTGTTTAGTCAAACACTTTAAATCCATTATATTTCAAACCTTGCCGGCTATGAACATTACTTAGAAATTTTCTTTTTTTTTTCTTCTCGGAATCCTTTCTTTCTGGTTGTGTTAAAGCATTTACACAGGTTTCAGTTTGTGTGTGTATACGCTTATTTGTAATTGTATGTTGTTGTTTTTTTTTATCCATGTTTTATTTTAAGGCATTAAGTATTTTGTCCTGTGTTGATATGTCAATGTTTACTGAGTAAAATAAACTGAATGGACTTTACAGTATCCCCTGAATACTGTATATGCAGCCGCAATAAAGAAATAATTCACCAAAAAATGAATGTATATAATAGCCTACATAATGTATGTATATAAAACAAGCAGTTATTTGATCAAAACCCACAGTTAAAACAGTAATATTAAGAAATATTATTACAAGTATAATGAACTGTTTTCTTTTTAAATATATTTTAAAATGTGATTTATTTCTGTGATGGCAAAGCTGAATTTTCCGCATCAGTACTCCAGTTCTTCAGTGTCACATGATCCTTCAGAAATGATTTAAAAATGCTGATTTGGTGAAACATGAGGCAATAACGGTATGAAAAAAAAATCTTATCGATGTTGAAAACAGTTGTGCTGCTAAATATTATTCTGGAAACTGAGAATTTGTAGGCCTACTTTCAGGATGAATAAAGTTCAAAAGAACAGCATTTTGAAACAAAGCAATTGTAACACATCATAAATGTACCATTAATAGTAATAAATTATAGTAAATCCAATATTTTAATCAATCTAATATGCTGATTTAGTGCTTAAAGTGGCAATATGTAACTTTTCTGGTTAAAAATGAACAAAAATCGTTTTTTAGTAAGTATAAGACATCAGTGTTCAAAACTGTCTTCTTCAATTCGCAAAGGTAAGCTTTTAATATTTATTTATAATTTGAGGTGTAGGGTCTGATTTTGCAGGAAATTGACAGAACAGAATAAAGACTACAAGGCATGTGTGGAACAGTTGTAGCGTGTTCTCAGAACAGTTGCTTAGAATCTGAACTTGTCATCCCGATGGCTGCTTTTAATCGGTAGAGTTTTAAACAGCAATCATCGTTGTCATTTGTGGGGTGTTACAGAGTATTTGTTAAATCTAGCTAACAAAATATATATTGTGTGTTTGAGTGGTCCAGACGCTACATTGTCAAAACTAAGAAACCTCAAACCGCGGAAAGTCAGCAGTCAAAAAGAGAAAGCGACAGAGGCCTGTACTAAAACCAGAGTAAATATCGGCATGGTTTTTGAGAAGTGGCGACAACTCCAAGATATGAAGAATATTCATCAATATTGAAATAAGTTCTGCTTAATATTGTTGTGGAACCATGCTTTTTTTAAGAAAGTTAAAATGAACCGGATTAATTTGAAATCGGCTAGAAATGTTTTGTAGCCTAATATAAATATATTTACTGTCATTTTTGATCAATTTAATGAATAAAAAACAACTTACTGATTCCAAACTTTAGATGTAATATATATTTTTTCCCTTAAGAGTTGTTCCCTAAATAGTACATAAAAAAAGAAAAGCAAAAAGTCAACATTAAATGTTAATTTCTTTATAGGAGTCTTTATAAGAACATATATCTCCAACAACATCATACAGGCATAATACAGTGTCATGAGGCCAAATCCCATCTCTTTTAGAGTACCAAGCATAATTTTTGATTTGTAGATGCATCAAAATGTGATTCATTTTATTCCTGTACATGTTAAGTGCTCTGTGCTCAAACCTCACATCTGAACTTTTGAATGATCTTAATCATTTAAAGTCATTATGTCTCACAAAGCAACTCATATTCCTCCAGTAAGCTGAGCATTGTCAGTTCACCTATGAATAATGGAGCCTTCGTATCCTGGTTTTCATTCGTGAGGCTGGTACTTCTGCGGAGAGAAAGCATTCGGACCCAAACTGAGACACGAGACAAGGATGTGATTTTGAGAAGATTCATCCACTCAAAAGCTCTCGGAGGTCCAATCATTTGTTAATTAGAGTCACTCAAACTAAAGTGTTGCTTCGGTGTCTGCTCAGAGCGACTGTGCTTGGCTTATATCTGGCTTTGATACAGTCCAGAAAGCTTCTTAAGAAGATTACCTGTCAAACTGACTTCACAGAGGAGCAGAGAAGACATTTTCCACAATGTAGTCATGAGCAGCCAACATCCAGCACCATTACGCAATGAAATATCATGTAATGTGGGTTCTGGGCCAGGCTTGAAAGGTTAATGTAATGATGAAGATGACGATGATGGTGGTAGTGGTTCATCAGATGACAAATTATATGCATGGCTCCATTAATCTTCTGCATTATTAGGAATTTCCCCTCTGATCCATCCATTAGTATTTATTAGTGGTAGTTATTAAGCAAAGACACATTTAGCTCAGGCCTGCTAGGACATGACACCACTGTTCAATACAATATTATAAATAGGGATGCACGATATTATCGGACTGATATCGGAATCGGCCGATATTGTCTTTAAATGTAAATATCGGCATCGGCCCGATATGAAAACTTATGCCGATTGCCAATAAGATGAATATGTTAACTCGCATGTGCTCAGGGTGTGCTACTGATTAGATCATGTCAGCAGTGTGGCTCATTCTTGAAGCAAAGTTTTGCCTGAATAGTGATTAGATTCACTGTTTTGGATCGCTGCATTTAATCTGTGAAAGCAGTACAGAATGACGCGTTCCTGTATGATAGAGTAAACCATAATAGCACGTGCAGTTGCAACAGCGGCAGCCTCCCCCAGATCCTAATACCCATTCGGTAAGGAGTTTTAATCTGTAGGGGACGCTGTTTGCCTACTTCTAATTAAATTAAAAGTAAAATAGCCTACGCAAATAACATTTAGACTGTTTCTGATTAAATAAAGCAGTAATTGATGTCATACATTTTTTTAATTATGTTTTGATTTAAAGGTCAGAAGCCATAGCTTATATGAAAAAAAATCACAAACATGACACTTGTAAATTAAATAATTTTATGTATACTGATTTATTCATTAATGTGTAATACGTTTTATATTTTAAACAAAACTTAAGCTCTAAAAGATTTTCTGAATTTTTACAACTCTTTTGTTTTAGACCATCTACAAATGTTAAATATTAAAATCAAATGTTATGGTTAACACTGCATCTTTCTGGGGAAAAAATGCAGCGTTTAAAATCGTTTTTTTTAATAGTTATTTTCAAAGCTTCAATGTACGGTCAAAAAACCTTCATTATTGTTTATTTAATTCTAACAAATAAGTTCTTGTTAAAAAAACTAACCAATATTTTGCTTATAATTTCTGCACAGGAGAGACTTGGTGTTGTTTCCAAACAAAAGGAAATATATCGGTATCGGGCAAAATAAGATGAAAAATATCGGCAAAAATCCAATATCGTGCATCCCTAATTATAAACATTATAATAGAAAATGCAAAATGCAGAATTTCTCTAAACTATACTGTGTAAAGAAAAAATGAATTTGGGAGACATTGGAAATGGATATGAATATAACAAGTGGTATTTTTGCCTTGCAATTTGTAGACATTGTTATTAATGAGGCGTCATGGGTTAATCCCAACAATGAAATATGGAAATATGTTTATATATAATATACAGCAGGGTGAATTTCATGAAATATGTCCAGGTTATACTCAGTGTTGTTATTATTAACTAAAACTTGATTCTAAAGCAAAAAATATGATTTTTCAGAAAATAGATGCAATATTAATGTTAGAAAACTTTGTAAATGTTGCAGTCACAACAAATTTGAATTAAAATAAGTTCAAGTGCTTAAATGACTAAATCTGAAATTACATATGAATTAAATGTAAACATTATTATATTTCTGTTATATATATAATATCTTACATTACAATATTATATTAAAATATATAATTTTACACGTATATAAATTATTACTATATATTAAAACATTTTAAATTACACATATAAAATAAAAATAATACAAATATTATGAGAATATGATGATACTGTTAAAATACTGTTAACATAAAAATGTACAATTGTTTTAAATTGTATAATTCCAGTGATTAAATATTTATATTTCATGGTAGTGTTAGTTGTACTGAATTTCATTTGATTTTAATAAACAAATACAATTTCAGTATCGACCAGATTAGTGCATTATAATATAAAAATAGTCACACTATACACAATACACAATTTGAATAAACACTACAATTCTGAAGGAGTACTGAAGTACCGTGACCAAAGTAAGTCACAATAATCATTTTTGAACACCTGATTTTGTAGTGAAATGAGATTCACACAGCAACAATACATGCTCAGCTGTGCGGAGCAAAACTGATTGACATATTTACCTGTCTTTTAGCAGGATGCAGTTTGATTCTGTACTCCTCTCTCTTCCTTTTCATCCTGTGAAAACCAGTTTAGAAATTGAGTGACGGTTTTCTCTAGATGACATTAAAGGCCACTTAATCATTTTATTAAGGAGCAGGAAAGCATACACTGCAGTATAGAGATAACCTCGCTTCACTGCAAAATAACAAACTGCACACTCAGTGTAAAACTTAGTGAGACTGGCAGCAAGTGTGTTGGACATATGGTGAAGGCGAAGAGGGGATGGGATTTCACAGCCAATTATCTGAGAGACCTCTTAACAGACAAGCCAGATGCTTATAACTTCATACATAATGAAAGCTATGGGAAATGCATTGTCCTTCAACCTTCAATCCAAATTTAGTCACAACATGTGCAGAACACAAGTCTGTGCTATTATACCAGTAATTAATCTGTTTGTTTTGTTTTTAGTTATGTTAGCCCTCTCATTTTCCACATAAAAATTGGGAAATTATGCTTTTTGCTGTTTATCACCTGCTAGAGCACACCCTATAACAACAAGACATCCTTACTCAAGTACTCAAGGTGGTTTGAACTGTTAGTGTAAAAACTGCTGGGCGTTTATGAATAATACAGTGTTATGACACACCTGTTCAGCCACGTCAGTAATAAAATCATCAGAAGAGCGACACCAACCAGCCCTCCTCCAATATACACATACAGCATGTGATGAAGACCCCTAAAATCTGAAATGAGGGATAAACACAGGCATTAAACTTCAGCTATTAAATTATCCAAAAGTAAAGAAAAAATTATAAAACATTTAAGAACTGAGCTGCAGCAGGACAGTGTTGTAACTTAAGTGTTGTATTTCTCAAAATAAAACAATGGAGTATGAAAAAAGTAATAGTTGGCAAAATGTTTATAAACTCATGGTTTAAGTTCTTCAAAAAATGGCTTTAATTCTTAGGGGTATTAACTGTTCAGAATCAAAATGAAGAACCTTGAATGCAAAATGACGTAGGACGTAATATTTTAGATTTTCGTTTTCTCAAAATCATTTAATTTCTTGTTTTTCTATGCTTTATATATAAATCTTGTATGTTAGCCTAAGCAACAAAAATTCTGCCATGCGTGGCAGCATATCATAGTTTCAAATTTATCTCTGTTTTAAAATTTTGTTTAATTTTTTTGCATTGAAATGTAGTGAATATAAATTAATTGGTTTTAAAGTCAACTGAATCTAAGTTTCAGCCCACAAATGATTTTTGGTGCTTTGTAGAAAACAGTTTGGTTATCTCTGCTTTAAAGATAGTTCATCCCTTGTCCTACCTTGAGCAGGCAGAGTGGTCAGCAGGATTGTGGTGGACTGGACACCGGCGTCTGTGCTGAAGTTGCAGCGGTAGAGTCCTCCGTCTTCTTTGATGATGTTGGTGAGGTGTAGACTGACCTCCATAGCATCACTGCAGTTCAGTCGTCCTCTACTGTTGAACTCGCTCAGCTCCACACCATCTTCTAGCATCTGACACGTTGCTATAATATTACTACTGCCCACCTCGGTATCCAGTTTCTCAATGCTTACTTGGTAAACCTCACCATTATGGACATGGTCACATCTAATGGTCAGGTTGTCATTCTCTGTGACCACCAGCTTATTGTCCGTTTGAATAGAGAAGGTGGTGGTGATTGCTAGAAAAAAGAAAAGTAGGAGTCATGTTATACAAGATCTTTAACATTGGAAATTTGTAACCTAGTTAGCTATTTTCACTGTAGGGTTAAACCTGTTGGATTACCATATCTGTAACATGGCGAAATATAAATATTTTCTTCATTCACCTGCTCTTTCGACAAATGTGTCTTTGGTCCATGAACCCTGAGGATAAGTCTGCAGAGAGCAATGATACTGGCCGATGTCACCCTCAGTGACGTTCATTATGGAAATGCTGCCGTCCATCTCTGTGGTTTTCAGAAACTCCACTCTGCCGCCATATGATGGCTCAAAGTTGGTACCATACTGAGGATGATAAACAGCTACAGGTTTTGAAAGAGACTTTTTAGTCCAAGAGACCATAATGAGCTGGCCAGTCCACGGACACAGGCAGTCCAATATCATTCCATCCTTCAGTATGACTTTTGATTCTGGGGCTTTCATCTGAACAGAGCCTAGAAGACCATTATGAAAGTGCAGGAAATCAGACAGAGATAAAAATGGACACAAAAGAATACAAAATCATCTAAAGGTACATCATTTCAAGTGAAGAAAATACTGGCAGAGAACATCTGGGTTCACACACACACCTTCTGACCAATACTTAATTTTTTTCCTGGGCATTTGCAATTACTGGATTTTAAAATGTAATCATTTTAACTCATAAAAAAAGAAAATAAAAAAATGATTATTTTAGAAATACTTTACTGTTCAAAAGTTTGGGGTCTGTAAGATTTTTTTTAAATGTTTTTGAAACAAGTCACTTATGCTCATCAAGGCTGCATTTATTTTAACAAAAGTACAGTTATACAGTAATATTGTGAAATATTATTACAATTTAAAAAATCCTATTTTAATATATAATGTATTCCTGTGATGGCAAATCAGAATTTTCAGCATCCATTACTTCAGTCATCAGTGTCACATGATCCTTAAATCCTTTTTTTCAAATGGTTCAAGAAACATTTCTTATCAAGCTTTAAAACAGTTGTGTTGCTTAATTGTTTTAGGTTTTTTTTAGGATTCTTTGATGAACGTTCAAAGCTATAATAGAAAAAATATATATATATATATATATATATATATATATATATATATATATATATATTCTGATTTGCATCCATTAAAGATTACGATTCCATATCAAACCTAATTTAAAATATTAAACATATTTCCAGGAAGTATTTATTGTACCTAATACAGTCGTATGTGCCAAAATACTAGGGCTGGGTAAAAAAATATTGATTTCTCAATTAGTCTAGCCTGTCAGGTAATGAACAGAACATTGTAGCGCAGCTCCCATCCAATAAATTGCAATAAGCTTTGTGATTTGTTGCTTCTGATATGAAACAAAGTCTCAAATTCTGTCCATTACAATACCATTCTGTCTTATTACAATATTAAAATAGTAAATGCCGTTTTGGCACCGTTTAATGTGGAATGACTGTCCATTACAAGAGCATACGGTGCCCCTGCCCACATCCAGTAACATGGCACCAGGTGGACACGGCATTGTGTTTTCGGTTTTGGTGTTTATGATTGTTTGTAATTTGTGCCCATCAAGCGAAACTTTCTCTGATGATGAGCAATGCTTTAATGTTTTTTCGGAAGAAAGATGCGACGTGATATCTATTGGTTACGGGCGAAATATTATTTTTTCCCTATTACATTTACACTCATCCAGGCCCTTGATCTCAAAACACCACTCCAATGCCCGAAAATTCATTATTATCCTATGCCTGTTATTGTCAGGCGACATTCACCCTTGCCCAGGTCCTAATGGGGAAGTTTGTCCCGGTTTTAACAAAGGGCAAGCTTTGGAATCCGGATCGTACTTGGCTGAACGGAATTCCGCTGTTGTACAGGTACGAGTGTCATGTAGTGACGGGGCTACAAATATTAACAGCATGGCTAATAATATATCCCACCTTTTCATGGATAATGGTGTGGTCATGATGGGCGACGAGGCGTCTGCGAGGTCTAGTTTGGAGAGGACAGTTTGCCGGGGAGGACGTGTCGTGGTCGTGGACCAGAAAGGCGCAGAGCAAGATGAGACCTTAGTTGATGAAGAGACTCTTCCAGTATCAAGAGGCTCTGCCGCTTTGCTTGGGGACTATTTTAACACAAAAGGTTTACATTTTGTGCACTTAAATATAAGGAGTTTGTTACCTAAGATCGACGAAATAAGGTGCTTAAGAATTGTAAAGTGGGTATTTTTTGCTTAACAGAAACATGGTTAGACTCATCTGTAACTAATAATGAAATAAAAATAGATAATTATAATGTTATTAGGAAGGATCGCAATAGACAAGGAGGAGGTGTTTGCATTTTTATTAGATCGGATATTAATTTTAATGTGTTAGACATTAATGTTGAGCAAGAGTTGCTGTTCTTGGATTTATTGTTGCCTGCGACTAAGCCTATACTGTTTGGACTTTGTTATCGTCCACCCAATCAAAACAATTTTTATGATGGACTGGAGTTTGTTTTGAGCAACAATAATGACGATTTGGCAAAAGAATGTATTATTATGGGGGATTTTAATACAAATATAGCTAATAGAAAAGGGGATAATTTTAAAGCTTTACAGACATTATGCCAATTATTCCATTTAACCCAAATAATAAACAAAT